AAGAATGTTGATGTTGAAAATATTTCTAATCTTATAATAGATCAATTAACTGGTAACTTTATTATTTACCCGAATGCTAACTCTATAGATTTATCTAAAGATGCTAATCTATCTCAACCTCAGGTATATTTTTCAGAATTCTTGAGATCCTTAAAAATTTCTGATCTTCCTTCTAGTAAGTTGAAGTTGAAAGTAAAAACCCCAATTATGCTTTTGAAAAACTTAGCACTGGCTCAAGGTCTATGTAATAGAACCAGACTGATTTATCATAAATTTCAGAACAAAGTCATTGATACTGAAATTATCACCAGTTCGCATATTAAAAATTGAAACATTATCAATTTCTTATTTGTGATGCTTTTTTTATGATTATTAATAAGTCACAGGATCAGACCTTAAGTCGAGTTGATCTTTATTTGTCGCAATCAGTTTTTTCTCATAGTCAACTGTATGTTACTTTGTCTAGAATTACTTCCTATCAGAACATAAAAGATTTATCAATAATCATTATGTAACTTCTCAGAAATATTACATGAGAAATATAGTCTATAAGGAGGTTTTTATATAATATATATAATAAATTAATTTCAGTATATTTAAAAAAAATTTGCCAATTTAATTATTATCGTTAATATTGAAAAATTACGTATAATTATTTAATTCATTATTTGGGAGGTAAGCTATTAAAATCATGTTACAGATCATATGATTTACTATGTTCGTAACTCGATTTTAATAGCAAACCTCCCATTTGTTGAACTTCTGATATGAAGCAGCAGATTTTAGCTAATATTTTATAAAAATATTTGTAAAGAATACAAAAACAATTTTATAATATGACTTATAGAATAAAAGTTTAAAAAGATCACAATTACATAGTTATGAATTAAATAATTTTTTTAAATTTTTAATAAATAAATAAGCTATATTTTTTAATAATATATTAGCTAACTATTACTTAATGAAATATTTATTCATTGTTTAGTTTAGAATAGGGATGATGATTTTTTGTATTTTACAGAATTTTATAGAAAATCACAGAATATGGATGATAATTTTCAAAATTTTAGTTTGATTTATCATCATAATGCTAACTGATATTAAGTTTGATCAGAATTTGCAAATTATAATATTAGCTAATCTTGTATAATTCTAGCCAAATTACAGAATTTCACAAAATTAACTTTTATCACATGTAGAATTTATTCTTAATCACTGTAGAAAATCATTATTCCTGGTTTAGAATAATACAAAGTTTAAAATCTAATTTTGAAAAAATCTCTATTTTTTCAATTCTTTACACTTTATATATTCTCACTAAAGGATCAATTTGTTAATTATTTGTATGTTTTTACTAATTAATAAGCTGCAAGTAATCACATAAGATCAGTCAAATGATATTTTAAATAATTTATAATTTCTGAATTGCTAGACCCAATTTTTTTTGCTGTAATAATAGTTATTTTTAGCTTTTTAATAAAAATATAATGCGTAATGTTAAAAATAGAAATTTTTTAAAATTTGATTTTACAAATTATAACATATTAAATTAAATAATTAATAAAAATATTTTATTAATGCAATAGATGACTAAAATATTTCTAATAAAATATGGTTCAGTTACAAATAAAAAATTTACTCAATATCTCATTTTAACTATACAATACTTTTATCTTCCTCTGGTATCTTAAATTAGTTTTAATGATATTATTATAAAGAAATAAAAAGTAAGTAATATGCTGTTAATTGCAAATCAGAAAATTTTCTTTAAAATAATTTTTTAATAAGAAGATAATGTTATTCTATCTTCTTATAGATTATTTTTGCTGTGTCATATGATCTTCTTATTTCTGTAAAGCTCTTGTATTATAATATAGTAATTATTTAACTCATAATTCGTGTAATAATCAGAGAAATTTACTATACAAAATTGGAGGAATTTTTATGTAAATCATTAGTCGATCAATGAAATTGACACTTTTTTTATATTATCAAATAATCATTTGATGCATAGTCACAATGACAATTTTACTAGTTAATTATAGTAATTATAATTTATATTTTTACATAATATTTATGATTAATTTTTTTAATTTTTTGCAAATTTACTTTGAGAGGAAGGCGAATTTTGGGCTAATTTGAGCATTCAATTTCAATAATATATAATTTCAGTTTTATAATTTTTTTATATATTTATTATAAAACTATTTTTATTTCATTATTTCACTTTATTTCATCAAACTATTTATTTATTGACAAAAATTTCTGCCAATTTTTAATGTTATTTTATTATTTCACATTATATTTGCTAAAACTATTTATTTATTAACAGAAATTTCTGCCATTTTTTGACAGTGTTGTACTGAATAATGGGAAATTCAATTTTGAATAGTTTGTAATTTTAGAATCTTATTGTCCTCCAATTCTCCTTTTTCAACTTTTTTTTTAGATTTTCTAATATAGTTGCTGCAGTATATCATTTACTTTTATCAATATCACCTTCTAAAAAATATTCCTCTAAAATTTTCATATTCTTTTAAATATATACTTCTCTTCTCCTCTTTTACCATATTTTTGCTTGCTTTTTAGTGTCTATTTAGACTCTAAAGGAAAATCTTAAAAAGAATTACTACTAAAATGTGAGTTTATTATATATTATTATTATATACTTTCAAAACAAATTTATTTACTATATAATATTTTCTTTTTCTTCAGAGATATCAGGAATAAAATAAAAAATTAAGGTTAGATGCTTTTTTTGAATTTTTTATAAACCTTTTTTTACCTTATATTATTTCTATATTGTTGATTATGGCAAGTTCTAATTCTCTAATCAACTCATCTCTTTTAGCAGTTTTACCTTATATTATTTCTATATTGTTAATTATGGCAAGTTCTAATTCTCTAATCAACTTATCTCTTTTAGCAGTTTTGATAACATTTATTTTTCATTTTATCAATTCTAATAATAATTGATCTTTTATCAATCTTTTGGGATCAATATCTAAATTAAAAGAAAGTGGTGATTAGATAAATATAAAGCAAACTAAAGGTATAATTTATTTTGTTACCTAATGTATTTAGCATAAAAACAATCTATTAATTTTTTGGAACTGTATAAGCTAGTACTATAGACTTTAGAATTTTAATTTTATTTTTTTACAAATTAACTAATTGTGCTGATGAAAATTGTGTTCACTTTCCAATATTAGGAATTTTTTGATTAAGAATATATCCTTCTATTGGTCTATCTTCTGGTCAGATCTATTTAAATAAATTAGAATTATCAGAAAGTGTATTTTTTGCTTTTTTATTTTAGTCTAAATAAATAAAGTAGATCAATATTAGAATTTATTTTTTTTTTTTTGATTTTAAATTTACCTCTTGTCTGATTTGATTCCAAATATATAACAGATATTTCTTGAATTTCTTTAATTGCAGTTTCAATATCAACACCTTCCATTATATCTAATTCAAGACGTACTTGACACTTAATAGTATGAGTAATCTATTGAAAATTTGAAAAAATTATTAGATACTCATAATACAGGTAGAAATTTTTTCAATACCTGAGCATAATGACTATCAATAATTGTTTTTGCTTCTCCTGCCTCTAAAAATACCCACTTCTTTACATTTATTTGATACTATTCTAACCAATATCTTAATATCATTATTAAATTAGCATTGTGATAGTATGAACTATTATCTGAAATAATTGTGATCCATTTTGGCTTATTCTCTAATGATTTAATCATAACATAAAGTGATGAAGTTGTAAACCACAAGTTTTAACACACATCTATTGACCAATGATCATATGCATAAATATTAAGCTTTTAAGATCCTAATTTTTTGGTATACATAAAAATTAAATATAAGGTCCAACCCTTTTTTTCAAAAAATTCTGCTTTTGTTTCTCTAGAACTTTTGGAAAGTATTTTTAATTTATAATCAATCACTAATACAGTATCATTTTTATCTAATTCAAGTAAATTTGTATTAAATTAGGCATTCAAATAAACCTTACGAGCTTGATAAGCAAAAAAGTATAATAGATGATTTTAATATTCATCAAGGTCTTCATGCAAGTTCATAAAAAGCTGATTTTTAAGATGTCTAAAAAAGGTAAATAATTTTGCATATTCTTGAGATATATGTATATGTTATTCTGTACAAATTCTAAATACCCATAATAAATAATAACTAATACATGAATTATGCTTTATTATCTCTTTATCACTGATACCTAGATTTTTTTCATAATCTCGCTTTAAAAATCATTATAATTTTTCCAAATCATCAAGAAGTTATTTCTAAAATAACAAAATAATTTGGTGTTAATATAAAATATATACAGAAATAATTAGATAAGTCTCACCTTTTTAAAATATTTATAATCTTACTTTTAATAAGTTTTCTTATATCATCAAATATTTCGTATCTATATCTATTACAGGTTAAATATAGACCACCTAAATCTTCTCTATATATATTTATTTTCTTGTAATTTAATCATAAAGATTATATGACAAATTTCATCAGGAAATTCAGCATGAAATTTTTCTCAAAGTGTTTATTTTATATTGCAGAGGTATTTAACTGATGTATCAGTTTTATTATCTGTTTTATATAAACTTATAATTACATGCGTCTTATCATTAATAAAGTTTTCAAATTCTTATATTTTTTAATAGATAGTTTTTTATGTATTTTTTCATTAAAGAATTGTTAGATCTATATAGATGATAATGCTTGCATGCCTTTTATATTAAATCATTTGAAACCTAATATAAAAATAATTTAGTAATAAATAAAAATCAATATTTATTATTATTACTAGTAATTACTAATAATCGTTTTTGCAATTTATCATATTTGAAATCATTTACTATTATAGATAGTATTTTTTATTTTCCATTAACTCACTTTTTATTAACTGTTAAACTTTTTTAAAAACAACTCCAAAAATTTTCAAATGAATTATAAAAATCCATTGGTTATTTTAATAAAAATCTAAGTTTATATAATTGCGTTAATGCATTTTGTTCAATTTTAGGATGTAGAGATCTAGTCTAAAATTCATATTACAATATAAAAGATTATTTAATTAGAAAATTTTTTTATTTAGAAATTATTTTTTTTAATTTTACCTTTGATCCCTATTTTAAAAATGATATTATATTATGACATTCTATATTGCGAAGTATTATTTTCTATGCATTTAATTCACATTCATTTAGTTAATAATTAATAGGATATAACTGCTTTAAATTACTATGTAATTCAATTATCATTCCCTGTTCTTACCATTTGTCTAAAAAATTATGCCAATTTACATGATTACTAGTTCGTCTCTTTAAGTAATAAGAAAAAACTTTTTCTATAAGAATATTATTGTCCTATTCGTCTAATAAATAAGAAGGTATAGCAAAAATTAATTTTTGTGACAAATTATTTTCAATTCTATATAGTGTTCTTCCAGTAAATTTTATCAATTTAACTAATTTTGCAGATTTAAAATGTTTGCTAAAAACTTTTTTCTATACTAAATCAGACGTATTTTCATAATATATTTTTTTAATTTGTGTTTTTTTCATTATAGTTAATTTACATGTATTATCTTCAAATTCTTGAAGAAATAAACAACACTGTTTTTCTAATTAAAATAAAAAACTTGACTTAAATCTAACCCCAGCATATCTCCATTGATTATTCTTAGATTTCGCAATTTCAAATACAAAAATATATACTAATTCAAGGTCAATAAAATATGGATAAAATAGAACTCCTTCTAATAGTTTTTCATAAATAGCTGGTTTATCAAATCCTATTATTAAAGGATCAGAAAATTTGGTTTTATTGTGAAACATTTTTTGATAAATGGTAAATATTACGTTTATACTAGAATTACTTAGTTCATCAGTATAAAATTCCTCATAGTCACAAAGATATCCTGAACATTCTGAATGTTCTTTATTATCCTTCACAACTGTTATAACAAAATTATACCCTTTTAAAAAGGTCATTGTTTTTATATGTAAATAAATTGGAATCAGAAATTCTGTTTTCTTATTACAAGATATCATAAAAAGGGCCCAAAATGCAGTTCTGCATCAATAATTTCTACTGAAATTAAGGAAACATTATAGTCTTTACTGTTACTCATTTAGAACAGTGTTTAATTAGTACAGTTGAATATGGAAAGAGAGATTCTTTCATTTTTTTATTTCATATATAAAATGATATATATAATTATCCCTGATCGACATTAATTAAAATTACCGATTTTCTCTGATTGTTACATAAATTACAAATCATGAATTAATTATAATTATTCTGAATAAATATTGGTGGACCCCGAATTTCTAAAAATTTTAGAAATTTACTGAGAAAATAAAAATTGTTTCGCTCTAAACTTTATTTAAAATTTATAACTCTATTAGCTAGTTCTTTAGCTCACTTTTACAAACAGTTTAAAACACTTGAAAGAGTTTATTTATTCGATAATTTTTACAAAATGGTTAAAAAATCTTCAAAAACTTTTGTCAACAAAAATAACAAAGGTCGCTACGAATTTCTTAAAAATAAGCAATCTGAAGTTAGCGGCTCTTCTCGCTCTGGAGAAAGTCTAACTCATTCTTAGTCACTGACAAAAATATTGTCGATGATACCTACGTTGAATAGTCTACCCTGTCTTCTAACATTCTCGATACTCAAGAATACGTTCTAATCGAAAATAATACAACTATGAAAACTGATAACACTGATTTTATTATTATTTCTCGTCTTTCTTCCCTTACTTGCGCTGCTTCTATTAGTAAAAATGCTAAGGAACTCCTTATCTCCCAAATTATCTGTATGATCAATAATGCGTTTGCATATAATAATGCATTCAAAAGGCTGAATGTACGTCGTGTAAATTTTGTGCGTTCTGCAGTTATCTATTTTGATAATGCAGAATCTATGCAAGCTGCACTTCCTACTCAACTTCCTAAATTGGACATTGATAAATATAACACACAGTTCAAAAATAGAACTTTATGTGTTACTGATATTCACCTAATCTTAAAAAAGAAACGATCACTTCAATCTTTTCCAAATATAGTACTATTACAAACATTCGCATGCAGATCAGAGACCTATGACAATATGCATTTATCACCTATGATAATCCAGATGCAATTAAATTATTTTATACTACATGGTTCTGCTACATTTATAATGATTGTGTCTGTATCTATCTGGCATATTTTTCCCTAAAAGAAGTAAAATCCTGAAATGAATTCTGGGTCAAATTAACTAACCTTTCCTTTAGAACTTCCGCTCAAAATCTCACTGATATTTTGCTTACTGTCAAAGCAAAATCTTGCTATATTCCTCACTCAAATAACTATAAATCCAGACCATTCGCCATTCTTTATTTTGAATCAGCTGAGGATTTACAGAAAGCAATAACCAGTGACTATACTTTTGGTAGCAATGAGTTGTAATAGTGCACAACTGATTTCAAATGCTACCATAAATGTGACGCAGTTGATCACATTGTAATGAAATGTTTCATAATTTTAGATCAAAAGAAATCAACAGATGAAGTTAAAGAACCTAAACCCCTTAGATCTAAACTGCCTTCTGTTCAACGACTTTACAATCACTTTAAACCTATTGGTTCTCACTCCCTTATCATCAAAAATACTAACTAAAAGAAGAATGATCAACAAACTCCTACCCCTCCAAAACTGATCTCTAATAAAGATAAAAGACCACAAACAGTCGATAACTCTATCCACAACCCACAGAATATCTCATCTAATGAAACAAACAAAAAATTTGATAAAATCCTCAATATGTTAACAAAGATGCAAAAGGATATGTCCGAATTAGAAGCTCGCATATCAAAATTAGAAAAGCACAAATTCAACTCAGACTCTACCTCCATTTTTCTACTTCTAACATCCTCTACAAACCTGCTTCACATGACCTGGTCTTAAACTTCAATCAAAAAAAATGCACTCGCATTTTCAACTCATCATTTGATAAAAACAACTCCTCTGTTCCTAAAAATGTCAATCCCAAAATTCAGAAATACATGGACAAACAAAATACCATTATCAGAAACCTTCACAAACAACTCAAAGAGGTAATAGCTCAAATTATCATTCTTGCCAAAAATCTCCGCAATAACTCCTTCACCCTTAACCTTTATTCTTAATCATAATTAATATAAATAATAATAATCTTTCTAATACTGATAACGATACACTTATATTATTATTTCAACCAGATGTTATGTCATCACCTGCCTTCACCATCACATTTGCTACACATAATATCAAATCTCTTCAATGTTTAATCAAAAATCAATTGATCAACAATTCTTTTGCAGATTTCAGCACTGATTTTATTAGTCTAACAGAAATTCGACACAAAGCGGACCAAACTTTTTGCAATTTATCTGATCCTATTTACACTTCTTATTGAAGTAACAACATCAACTCGTATGCTGGTGTTGACATTCTCATCAAAAAATCTTAAGCAATCTATGTTCAAAAAGCATTTCTAAATCACGATAGATTTATTTACGTTGACCTTTATTTAATAAGTAATGTCAAGCTTAGAATCTTTTGTATTTATTTTCACGCTTTTACTGAAATGCGAATCAAGAAAGAACGAATAAAGTTACATAAAGAAATTATTACTCACGTTAAAGAAGGTCTTAAATCTGACTTTAAAACTATAATTCTAGATGACTTTAATGCTAATTTAGATACATATTGGTCACTTATACACAATGGAAAATCGATTTATTGGCAAATAGAATTCTATCAAAAACTTTTTGCCCTGAATTTTCTCGATCTTTATGACATATGTCATGATACATCAAGGCCCTTGAATACGCTACACTTTTACTAGTAAACCTTTCGCGAACAAAGGTCAATTCTGTACAAACCAATTTTACAATTATGTACATTAAACTTTAATTTATATTAGATCTGTATGTTGAACATTTTTATTAAAAATTACAATTCTATACACTAAACTTTTAAAAAATTCAATTTCTGTACGAGGAACTTTACAAAAAAAATTTTTAATAAAACTATATTATTTTGAGTCATTAGGATTTTCTTGGCTATTTTTTCTTATTTTCATCAATGCTTCAGCTTCCAAACTCCTAATTCTATGCTAGAAATTTTCTCTACTGATTTTTGATATAATTGCAATTGTATTGGTGTCAATATAATATATTGTCCTAAAAAAATTGAAGTAGTTTAACTTCCAGTTTCAACATTACCTAAAAGACTAAAAAGCGAAAAAGATATTCCTCAAGTGTAAATTGAATTATTGATGAATCCAAAATTCGTTGAAATTTGTGTGGATTTGATATATCTTGCTTATATAAAATAGCATGAATTCAGTTAGCATTTAATCCATCTAAGGATTCAGCCCGTTGATATGACGTACCACATTTCTATAAATGCTATTTTAGTTAATTTACTTTATATATTATTTATTTAAATTAATAAAATTGATGATTGATTACCTTAAAAATAGAAATAATTTCTGCTATATAAATGCGTTCACCATTGTAAACATAAAAATAAAAGTTACCAGCTGTATATTATGCATTTTCGGGATTAAGCTTTGTAATACTAAATATTTTTCGGCATGCAGTTATCCATCAGGTAAGCCGACCTTTGGTTCAGAAAGTGGATTTTTCTGTAGCATTCATTCTTTCAATTCGTAAAGCTGCTTCTAAATTAAGAGATCCATCAGGTATATTAATCACAAAATTTTGAGATCTTTGTGCCAGTATTGGATTAAATTTTCACATTTCTTTAAGAGTATATTCATCAAAGTTTTCTTGATTTAATAAAAAATTAAATTAATTGTTTTTTTAATTCTATTAAATTAATTATTATTTGAATATATTCACCTCTGTATAATGCCATTTCTTTCATAACTTTAATAGGATCTAAAGGTTTCGAACATATCCAATGATTAATTATATCAAAAAATGAATAATGTCTATTAAAATTACAGGGTATTTCTTTGTTATACATTGTATCAGTATTCACAACGAAATCATATTCATCAGGTAGATTTCGTTGCATTACAAGCCTTTGTTAATGCAAAAGAAGTAACTCCTCAATTACCAATTTGGCATTATCATAATTTAAATCTATTTCTATTTCTTTATCATCATTATCAAAGTGTATATTACTAATACTATTAAAACAATCTTGAATGATTTGAATATATTCATGAGATGAAAAATTTATGCCAATTGATTTTAAAATTCCATACATAGCTGTTGAAACCTAAAAAATTAATTTAACAATTTTAAATCTAATAATAAATAAGCTTCTACCTTTTTTAACAATAATTTTATTTACCTTTTCCATTGTATTTCTGATTTCAAATTCAGTTGAAAATAGTATCAGTTTAGGATCCAATGATTCTTTAATTGAGCTAAGACATATATTATAACCATCATTGCTATCAGGACGTTTAATAGATCCTAATATAACAAATTAGAATTAATATATTTTAAAAAAAATCTGATATAATATAATTTCTACCTTTCATCTCAATATCAATATTTTTAATTATCTTTTCATTTATCATTAGAAAATCCAATAATATAAAATCTTCAATTAATCGACGTGCATATCTAAAAATATGCTTCAGAAATGCTGTAGAGATCAACTAAAGACATAGAGGAATATTTCCGTATGCTAGTGGAAAATAATTGATCAGCAGAATCAATGTACACCTGAGATAAAGAAAATCGTCTTTGGTTTGCTATGAAATTCTGTATTTTCTTAAATTACATTAAGCTGGATTATCTTTGATATATTTCTATATAGTAGCAAAAAATATTGTTCCTGCACAAGCATAGGCTACTCGGTCATTATGGGCTATAGTCTTAGATTTTCATGCTTCTAAAAGCATGCCTGAAAAGAAGTGATACATTGCATCTCCATAAAAAGTATCATCTTTGCATTTTTTGATATGTTCAGAGATTGCTAGATTAAAAATTGCAATTAATATCAAAGAAGCACTAGAATAAAGATTTTATTATATCAATTTATAAAATTAAAATACCTTTTAGAACATGTGATGAATAAAATCATTTAGCAAGTTCGTTAGATTATTTATCTTTAGGATTTAATACATCAGTGGTTAATCCAGATTTTTCACCATAAATAGTATATAATTTCCAAAGATGTTCTATTGACATTACATAATTACCAATTGGCACAATATATGTGTCAGAATTATGCATATTACGTCTTATATAAAAATACTAAATGAATCTACAATTTAAAATAAAAATTATCTTAAAATTCACTAACCTTTTTTTATGCAGTGATAAAAATCAGTTCTATTTAGGAGTGGTGAATTGCCCTCAAGTAATTGAAGACTAAGTGGAAATTTCTTAAATAAAATTGATTCTGATTCCTTATTAAAGATCAAAAGTAATATAAGAAATTTTTTTTTAAAATATTATTAATAATAAAAAAATACTTACTTTAATTAATCCTAATTCAATTTGAAATTCAGAATTATTATAATACGTTTTATCCAACTAATTCTGATCATGCAATACACCATCAAAATACAATCCAATTAACTTCGCACTAGTATAATTGAGATATTTAACTACTAAATTATTTTCTTGAAACACGTCTGCTAAGGTTTCTTTTTGATCTAACAGAAGTACAGTAATTACAAGAGGTAGTATTTCAGATATAACTGCTGAAATTGCAAAAACTGTAATATAAGTTGTTTTTTTTAAGTTCATTAATTTGTGCTGAAGTTTATCAATTGTCATCACTTGAGGAACAGAAGTTTGTTGCAACTGTACACATCTAACAAATCGAGCATGGTGATGATCTACTTCAATCATTTCAGCAATTTTAGTTTGATCCTTCACACATCCCTATAAAAAATTTGCATACGTTTTTTCATTATTATAAATAAGTTTTGTATACGTTTTTTAAAATTCCGTATCACA